ACAACCAACTGAATGCCTCTAAGGAGACAACAATCAGTAAAATGTATCATGTCCAAGCGCATAAATATTATACGAATTTTCCACAAAATATCTTAACTATGGAATCCTATGTACATACCAATAACTGTGTATGATTAAATTATTGTAAAAGTTTTTTCATCCAATTATTCGAAAGTAGCACATAAGCCACACTATAAAAGGACGTAGGTATATTTGAGAATTTTGTATGGAGTGTATACGCATGCCACGATAATATACTCAACGATAAAGCGTATTGTGGTAATCACAAATGACTGATTCCTAATGTCCGTGGATTTATATTAAACTGTTGCGGTTAGATTGATAAAATCATGCACATCTAGGTTTATGTTATTTCTTGTTATTGTCGATGATGATGATGTTAAAGTAGGCTAGATGTGATCTGACCGTATGCCAGCTGTATATAGTGTGAAGCTATTAGTTTCAGCAAATTCTACTAAATTAACGGATATCAGCTTTTGTAGATAAAACGACTTTTAAAGAGTGACGAATCCACTCAAGACTATGTAACTTGATGATGATCATTTATTTAGTAGTAAATGAATCAACTACCCGAAGTTCTAGTTCGCACATGTGATCAAACAAGTCTTTTTATTATAAAACAAACTGATTTAGCTGTCATAATGAAAATTCATTTATTTGTTGGAGGTATATGTTTTAACTGTGATCGCTTATCCTCGGGAAATTCATTGCACTATGTATTGCAGTTCGGCATCAAACAAGTTCAGGTATTGGGTTAATGGTTATTGTTTGAAATGCTTAACTCCATTATAATGTCAATTCACAGAATTTCAGGTTAGTTTCTTGTTCATCCAATTCTCATAATCCATTTCCTCTCCGTTTTTCGGCATTAGGAGAAGGTGGCCTTGCCAATTATTCACCATCAAGCTTTTTATGCCATTTGTCAAAGGTTAGTGTAGATTGACTGATTAAATAATAGTTACATGGTGTGATTACTGATAAGTATTTGTCTTTCATTTGACAGATAACATTATATCTTGCCCCATATCCTCGTTAGACTCATTTCAAGTGAAAACTGGTGTTAGACAAGGTTGCTTACTATCCCTCTGTCTCTTACTTCTAATCTCTGACTGAATTACGAAGAACTCAACATCTCCGGGATGAGGAGGCAACGGACATTATGGACAGCTCGCATGCAGCCGGACGATCTGCACTTCTCAGATGATCTAGCCCTTCGCTCGTACATGCCACTACAAATTCAGAAGAGGACGGCCAATCTAGCAGCAGCATCTGCAGCACTAGATCTCAACATACACAAGTGAAAAAGTAACATCCTCCGATACAACATAACAAGCAAATGAAGGTGAGGAAACCTTTACATACCTAGGCAACATCATCCATACACAAGGTGGATCTGACACAGGTGTGAAGACACGGATTGACAAATCAAGGGTGGCATTCCTATGATCGAAGAACATCTGGAACTCACTACAACTCTCAACCAACACCAAAGTCACCATTTTCAATCAATATGTCGAAACAGTTCTACTGTATGGATTGGAAACTTAGAGAACTGCAAAAGCCATCATCCACAAGATACAGGTGTTTATTAACAGTTGTCTACTGAAGATACTGCGAATTCGCTGGCCAGACACCATCAGGAACAACCTACTGTGGAAGAGAACAAACCAGATTCCAACTGAAGAAGAAATTAGAAAAAGCACTGGAGACGGATATGATACATTACAAGAATCACCCAACCGCATCGCGAATCAAGTCCTAACTGGGAACGCTGATCACCAAAGCAATAGGTAGACCAAGGAAAACATCAGGCCAAGAAACGGAGACGGGTGCCAAAGAAAGGAATGATTAGCAGCTGAATAGAACTGGAAAGGATGGGCCAGGACAATGTAGGTTTGAGAATGTTGGTCGGTGGCCTACGGCCTGTTACCGGTTACACTGAGTAATTAACTGAAACTGCAATTAGCTTATTATTACTGCCGTTGTACAAACGGGGTTCGCCTAGCAATGATATGTCGAAATTAAAGGAAGGATTTATGTGATGAAATATTCAAAAGTCCGTCCAAATCGGCTTTTAGAATGATGACGTTTTACTAGTCATCATTTATTTACAAACTTTCAAGGATAATGGTCATAAAGAACTTCATTACCGTGTTTAACTGCTAAAATTCTAGTGTTTGAATGTTTGGATACATGAAAGATCTTAGAAATAAAATACCTAGTTGACTAACGACTGGAACTATATATTACAAGTAGCAAACCACCTGACCAACAAAACCTTTCAGAGTATTCATCGTGTAAACCAGATAGAAAGAAGTGGGATTACTGCAAGTAGCGATTATGGATACGTTAGTGCTAAGAGAAAATTCATGTTGATTTTTTGGTTTTACTTCAAGTTTATACAAAAACACACTGTCGATTGGTCTAGTCAACGAATGTAAGTCGCATCAGACAGGCTCTGTCTGAGTGAAAAATCATCCGTGTATTTAGGCTGATCTAGTTCAACACCAGAAGATAAGCCATACGGACGAAGGCTTAAACCACTAATCCATCGCTACGCAATTTCTCAAAACTGCGATAAACCTAAAACCATTGCATATACATTGGAAATAAGTGCACTGAAAATGCTAATTTAGAAAAGCTATTCATCAATACTGAGAATTATTTCACAGATCCACTTGATCACGTGAGCCAGTTTACATGTACACAACCAAGGAAACTAGAATAAAACATTGACACTAGGGCAATAAATCAAGCGCATACATAGAAGTTAGAGCTTGTTAACTAAACCTCCAAGTAATGAAGTGTGAATTCGAGCACCATACCCGAACTAAGTAGTTTATTTTACTTAAAATAACAGATGATAACATAAGATCTAGAGAGCCGAATTATTCCATTTGAATTGCTTTGATCTAAACAATTTTGTAAATGAATTACAATTTCAACTTATCTGGTGAGGAATAATCAGGTGAAAACAGAAATATCTGTTTATTTGTAGGTCAGAACCTATATAGCTAAACAATAGCTGTATTACATCAGCTGCTTCTCTGTCTTAGTAATAAACAAGAAAAAAATATATGCATGGTTATAGATTCAGAATTTCATTATTCAATATCCGAATCCTTAAAAAGAGTACAATCTGTGCACTTAGTTAACCTTTAATTTTATCGTGTTGTCGTAAACAAATAAACATGTTATCTGCATACTGAATATATATAGATATTCGTTTTATTCAGAAAAAAAAATAATAAAAAGGCGCTAAGCGCGGATGAAGAGAACATCATAGTGATGAAGTTGAAACAAAAATGGCAATAGTAACAACAGTAAGTGTACTAATATAAATGTAAATCGAAATGTTTGCAAGCAGGGAAAACGCCAAATCAAAAGCACGAATTTAGTAAAAGGGATTAGATTTTGATTATGATACTATGCACGATTATTGATGCGATGAAAAACGAGACAAAACACAAAACGGAACATAAAAAAAGATAGGCACTTTACTTAAAAACAATAATAACCTCAATATACAAAATAAAACTAGAAAACAGTGGTAACGATACACAACAAAATTCACACCTTGCTTAAATGTTAAATATGGTCAATAAAAAATAACGAACAGCCTAAATAAAACGGCTTTGTACCTATTAAAAAATTTAATATGTCATTCTGTCTGTCCACGTATTTGGGTCCGTATATGTATGAAGTATTACAAAATTGAGTTTAAAAGTATCTTTTCGCTTTCAATGGCAATTCACAATTAACAGATGCAAAAGATAGCGGCAGAACAAAAAGTCAAATCAATGAATACCAATCATCACGACATAGTAATGATAGTTATTACAATAATAGGACTTATACCGTGTACGTGACAAAAGATAATCAAACAGAAAAGGGAGCGAAACATCAACGAGTACATTTTTAACTAGTTATATTCATTTCGATGTGAAAATACAAATACCTTTATCTCAAAAAAATACAAACAATCCAATCAATAAGTTTTAAACACACGTATACACACTGATCGACATACAAGTAGATTCAATTACATCCTCTGCATGTGAAAGCTGTGTGAAATGAAGATTGAAGATTCTACTTACAATAAAAATAATTAATTAATCATTTTGTACAAGGATACTGTAGGACAGTATGTGCGTGTATGTGAAAAACACAGTAGTAAAACGATACATGTAGAGAAGACGAATAAAGTGCATCAACCAGTATGAAGAATTTCTTCTCATTTAAAGAATAGATACACGGTGAGAAATGATGATAATCATAAGACTATTAACAATAGCAAACAATCAACAAACAGTAGATGCAGAACAATAACAACAACGACGAACTATACAAAATGGATAAAATAAACACAGATTAATACTATGGAGACTAAGAAAATACAACACATACACAGTGTTCAAATTAAAATAACAGTTGACTTGTACATTACTAAGAAGCGATTAGAAATCAAGTAAAAAAGGTCTTGTGAAATAAGGTGAAAAATATAACAGCTTAACGAAACACACTAAGGTATGACAGTTCTTATATTAAGAAAAAAACACAGCAAAGTCAGTAAATACTAATCAAGTCCAGACAGAAACTAATATGAAATATGAATAGTTGTGAATAATCCAGTAAGCATATACTTAAGACCAGCACACAGACGAATACAGAAACGTGCTCATGTGAATGATTAGGGTCATAATATGAAGAGGAAAGATATGGAATGTTAGACAAACTTTTAAAGGAAAACAAATGGACTCAACAAGTGTGGATAACGAAACAGGCGATAAATCTTCTTAGAATCGATGACTATTACAGTTATTATTATCAATTTGGAAATAATATTTAGGGGTTATACTTCCCGAAATATACAAAAAAGAGAGTTGGTCTATTTTTAATCCATGCGCACAAAATACAAAAGAATAAAATAGAATTTCATGATAATAACGATGAAGTTGTTTTGAACATATCTATTTATGCTACTCTTTTACTGATGTAACAGCAGCAGTATTTGCGCTGGTTGTCTGACCAGGAGGAATAATTCCACCGGATGTTCCAGTTGCTGTTACACCAAGTGCCTCTGCAGAAGAAGCACGATGATCGCAACCTTCATTACCAGAAGTAAACTGTAGAAGCGGATAAGACTGCTGCTGTTGCTGTTGTTGTTGTCCAATAGCAGATACTTTTTGACGCAACAATGTCCAATCAAACACATAATCCCAGACAAATGACAATGATCGAAAGAGATTACGAAAATTGTTCCGGAGAAAACCGTAATTTGGTGCTTCTTCAAATTGCAAAGCACGACAATGACTCAGATAAAGAAGAAATTCTGAAGGATAACCACGACATAGAACATCAATCGGTGTGTTGGCTTTCTTTTCATGGATCCGTTCATATTTCTGAGGTTTGTTTCCAGCCTTTTAAGAAAAGAGAAAATTAGTGTTGTGCAACTTTGCAGTGTAAAAAAGGGAGATGAAGAGAACAAAGAGAGGTAAAACTGAAATAGTTGACAAATATGGTGCAAAAGGTCAAAAAAATATACAGATGGTCAACGAAAAAGACTAAAGGTTTTTTCTTTAAAAAAGCATACCTCTCTTAGCCCCGTGGATTTCTGGCTCCACACTGATGACTTCAACAGTATACAACGGAGATAATTCAGTAGTAAGATTAAACAGTTAGCTAATCAAATAAACGGGTATTCCGAAGCTATGAGTTCAACTTGCTGTTTTAAAAACAGATAATAAAATATCTCAAAGAGACAGAATGACTGAAGATACTTGACCCATTGAACGTTAATCGCTAAAATCAAAGACTTTAACTACCACTAATAGTACTTTGTTCGGAAATATATCACAACAACAATGATTAACGACTATATAAGGATATTGATAATTTAATTCCGGAGTTTACACAACTACGATATGATGGTAGTCAATCAGTAAGCTACTACGTAGAACTTCGTACGTACGTAAGTCAGATCGAATCGCAATACCACATTAGCACAGAGAGATTGAATTTTCAATTCAAATCCCATAGTAGTGGAGGTAGTAGAAGTATTAGCATTAATGAAAACATTATGGATCAAAGAAATCATTCAAGAAGTATTTACCAGTAATATATATTTAAAGAGTAAAAAAACTGTCATCAGAAACTCAGGAGATTAGAAGTTGAGAGAAGACAAAGGATGGGTCCACCTGTGCCACTGCAAACGGTTTTGAACCATGTCACTCAGTCTCTAATTATCGGTTATTGTTGTCTCGTGGACCAAATAGGTAGACTATACGAACCAACATGGCTCAATCCACTTGACAGTAACTTCATGTATTTAACCAATGTTTTGTTCTGGCCGCCCAAAAGTTCCTTCAACAGTATCCCAACATCAGTCAGCTTCGCTGTCAAGGCAGTGCGGTGGATATGCATTCGTAACACATGTTAACAAATGGATATCTCGCCTACGCCACATGTTACGCCAGTTGGCAAAATCACATCAAGGCTTGTGTACTCCTTGATGAGATTTCGTCAGTCACCAGACTATCAGCATTATGAGACTCCCACGATATGTGAATCGGCCAACACGCTCCACTGCTTCACTCTCTAGTTCACTAGTTAAGGTGCCGGTACAAGCCAATCCTGAAGGAACATTTTGTATTTCGATGGGGAGAATCACATCCCGAACATGCTTGCACTGTTGCTTAGAATAGTCAGAAGACTGAATTTTGTCATCGACGTCATCATACTCTAAGTCTCCTGGTAGAAGTTTTACCCGTGAAACGTCTAACGAAGATACTGTCAACACTAAATTTACATCTACGACAACGTTAAGCAAGAATGGAAAAAGTGGACATCCCTGACAAACATCACTTCAAGTAAGAAATTCTGATGAACGCTCGTCATAAGCTCTAACTAGATCAGTGTTCAAGTAGAGAGTTTGTATTAGGTTAATATACTTCTTCGATATACCTTTTAATGACAGACACTAGCACAGAAACCCACGATCGGTAGAGTCAAATGCATCTTTAAGGTTGAGGAATAGTACTAATATAGGACGTCTGAACGTGTGTCTATGTTCTAGGACCTGATCTAGTGTGAATATTTGGTCTATACAGACACATTCAAGTCGATAAACAGTCTGATTTCCTCCAGTCTGTTCTTCACAAGCTGTATTGAGGCGTATAATTGGTACCGAAGCTGACAATTTCGACACTACATTAATTAGACTTGGTCCTCTGTGACTGTCACAAGAAGACTTCTGTCCCTTCTTATAAATTGAGACAATTAGTGATTAAAACTAGTCAGATGGAATTACGCCCAATTCACGAACCCCGCTTAAGATGTCAGTCAACCTAACTGCTAAAACTGGACCACCATCCTTAAAAATCTCAGGAGGTAGCCTGTCAGGACCCTCTGTTCTCCATTGCTTCAGATTTTCCATAGCCTGTACCACCTCACATATATTTTGTACTTTTATCATTTTTGAGCTTATAAGCGCACATATAATTGGGCAATAATTACCACCTACACATATTTATTTGACTAGCTTCATCGGTTAACTGTTTAAGTGATTTGATGGCAATATCGACTATACTCATTTGAATTAAATTCGATATTTGTATCAATCACTAAATATTTGAAATAATAAAGAAATTGTGGCAACGACTCGTGTTCTATAGTAGTGGCCATCGAGAGAGAGATATACGGAATTCAGAAGATAAAGATAGTCCAACGCCACAAACTTTCCCGACTTCATAAACAGTTGGAGGACTTACATCGACTTACCATTCAGGTTGACTGGAGATCGTCGACAACCAAAGTGTGGCTGCATGCCAGTTGAACCGATCCCATAGATCCAATCTCCTGGGTTGAGAATGAATGGTACGACCATCCATTTCCGAGACAGTCTCGCTAACAGTAGATTTTCTAATAGTGGTTTGCTTAATCAGTTTGAATAGTTGTCTACCGTTACCTACTGCCGCTGCCTTTTCCATTGCTCTCGCTTTCGCTACCCACTACTGTTCGTAATCAATGCGTAGGCTTTTTATCAACTTGTGCTTAGGCTGACTCCGCTCTTCGTCATGTTCAGAGCCATACAGGATGCGCATCTATCAGTTCATTAAATGCGACTGAAATTCACGGCTTCTTCCTAACATTATGGTTTACCATGCTAGCAAATATCACTGCTGTTTCCACAGCTTTCTGGATATCGCTCCAAGTTTTCTCGGGGTGGGGATCACTAACATGGCCGCCTAACTGTTTTTCTAGTTGCTCCTGAAATATATTATTAGCTACGCCATTACTAAGAAGAACCCTTAGAGGTTTCCTTGCGGTGTATTTCTTATGTTCAGTCAGACGCAAACAAATACGTGCTTGTACTAGAGCATGATTTGGATCTGGACATATAGCTCCAGAACGAGCAACAGTCTCCTATCTAACCCCTCTATCGGTAGCTGATAGCGATGCGATCTCGTCGGGTCCATCGTTGCGATGACATAGAGATCGCCATGTGAAAACTTGTAATTGCTTATTCCTAAATTTAGTAATTGCTAGAAATACGCGCTTTTCTTAGCATAGTTGCAGCTCAAAATCGTTTGAAATGGCGCAGATGCACCCACTCTTTGTGTTCTCTCGAATTCTAATCTTCTGAATTCCTCATCATCATCTTTCTTTTTCTGAAGTTATCTCATTAAATTATGCTTCTTGAACAATATCTTAGAACCCTCATCTTCTACATTACCGCTGATACTTTTACTATCTCTACTACTGTCCGATTTAAACTGACAGTTGCGTTTCTGTGCTAATGTGGTATGGCAACCTGAACTTACATACGTACGTAGGAAGTCCTGCATTGTAACTGACTGACTTTATAAGCTTATATTTGATTATTGGTCATTTTCATGGGTTAAAGCTAAAAAAGTACTGAGGATACAATTTATTTTACGTCTATACATAGAGTTAGCTAGTACAAAAAGTAATAGTATGAATTCTTGCAACAAAGTGAGAAACTGAAAAGAATAAATTTGATTATTAAGATTATTTTGATAAAAGTTCATATTTGCACTAAATTTACGAACCAAGTTACTGCTAAACTTTAAAAACTAGTTTTTGATAGTTCAGTGATTTATTTGTTTCATTCTAAATATATATGTACTTATAATTTTGTCCGATTGTTCGTATTTTGAATCGAGTAGCCATACAATACTTCTATTAGTTTTTGTTTTGAAGGTATTTGAGTGTATGTGTGAGCATTTCTGAACTTTAGTAGTAAATAATAGTTCTCACTGATTTTTAAGGATAATAGTTCGAAAAACAAAGAAAGTAATTATAAAGACTAAGAGCGAAAAAGACTAACTAGATAGATAGTAAATAGAAATCATATACTTACTTGTAATCCTTGCCATGGCAAACTACCACGGAGGAAGTACATCAAAACGTAACCTAGAGATTCCATATCATCTCTTCTAGATTGTTCAATGCCAGCATGAGAATTAAGACTAGCATAACGCGCTGTGCCAATGAGAGATTTATCATCTCTATATGAAATATGACGACGTGTTCTATGATCTCTGTTGAATAGAACAAAAAAAGTAAAGAATCTTACTTTTAAAAGTATGATTTGCACACAAACTACCAAAATCTATTTGAGCTGCACCGGTAAAACGCAGTTTTTGTGAAAGTTTCTTACTCTCAAAAGTGCAGTTTTCGGTGTTTAGTTTTATCATTCACGACTGAGCTACTAGTGTAATGAAGGAAAACGGTAAGAACAGATGGAACAATTTACTAGAAAAAATGTATACACTTAATCAAACATGCATCCGCAAAACAGGCTAATCCTCAGCTGTATTCTTCCACATGTGTTCTATTTTTCGAAACAATGGTTGCGCCATACATCCAGACACAAAACTATTCTCTTCGGCCGTAACTTCAGGTCAACACTGATGCACAATCACTACATACTACTGATAAGCCTCGTTGTTAGTAGTACACATTACATTCGGACACCTGAAGTATCCAGTTTTTTGTTCAGACTTTAACTGTGACTATTAATGCACGTATTTTTATTAGGGTCATTTCTTTACTCCTAGTTTTTTCACTAAATGTGGCAGAGTTTTTTGTATTAGCTTTAGCGCATCTGTGGACTAAGGTTGCTCATCTATAATAATGATAATCATAAAAGCAACTTCTAAGTGCATTCACTATGGGGACATTTTTCAATGAAACTTCTCGATATAAAAGTAAACATTAGAGTAGCATCCGTAATGATGAATAGCGCACAAATGCTTCACATAAGAAGCCGGTAGAGAGGAGAGAGTTGCTGATCAAATATTAGCAAACAGACAACGCTTGTTATATGGTATACAGTAGATTACAACTCGGACTTGGCTTTCATTTACTGAGTTCTAGATTTAAATTCAATTTCTACATATCGCGGTTCGATAAGCTGACTGATATTAAAAGGCTAGCAACCAATTGCTTGATTAAGCCCAAGTAAATGAGTTAAAATTACGGTCAAACTTAAGAGTATGTACGTGAAAGACTGTCGATCCTTATGAAGAAAGGAAATCGATACCGATCAAGGTGAATTCCCATGTTATTGAATTATTCACCGTAAACCATACTCATAGAGTGGTAATACATTCTTACTATGATTTCTATCTAGTGACAATCACAATGATATGTAAATGATTAACGCAAATGTATTTTCAATCATAATGGAATTATTGTCAACAAACTCCCATTATGAAACTAGTCTTTTAACTCTACTTAGTGAAACAGGGAAGAGGAGAATAGAAGTGATCTCGTTCTTTGTATTGAAGTTTGAGTTGAAAAATATAAGCATAGTAAACCAACAAATCTGGACTGTATATTAATAGTTTGAATAAAACTACTTAGGGAAGACTCAGTTAATTCAAAAAATGCAAATAGTGGAAATTATTGGACCCAGATACAAAGTAAGTTTTGAAATCTCATTTGGGTAATAACCAAATTTATGGTTATGATAGTGAAGTATATATATTCCGCAGTCGTGTACTATTTAGAGTAAAAAAATAATTAACACTGTTGGATGCACGTAGTAGGGGGTGGGTAAGATTTATCAGATATTAAGAGCCTCTTCCTAACTAACTGATATATAGTGGGTAATTTTAGATAGTTGATATCAAGATGACCAAATATATTTACCAGAAAAACAAGCTTAATGATTAACAGCAATTATACAGAGGAAGACAGTGATGGATAATAACAAACCCAAGAAAGCGGCACTTCGGTATTTTGGATCAAGTAAATAGAGTTTGTACTTCAAATTCGATGGACATCCGGTAATATAGACGAAGTTTGAGGACTAGCGTAGTTGTTAAAATCCTAGTATTTATGATCCTTTAGCATCTACTGGAACCCATAAACAGAGATACCCAGAAAACCATGAGTCGTACACTAGCTAGATGGTAATATCCATATATTTACTTCACACTCAACTCCATCAAAAGTATATTCGTAGAAATCTAACCCGATTTCAGGGATTAAAAATGATGTTTGAAGTGTAAAACAATAACGTACGTTGCTACGAAAGTATCATGAACGAAATACGTAAAAATTAAGTGACAATAGTGAAAGCTCCACGGTAACGCCCATGGTCACATAACAAAGTAAAAATGTTTCTGGTCAAGTTGTGGACGTACACCGACTGACATTGTTAAAAAGTTCATCTAGACAATCCACCGACTAAATATGTTTTGCTGGTTAAATTGATAATAGGTCAGGATAAGTATCGAGGTAGACATATCAGGATATGATAGTCTGTCTCCATTTGTTCACATGGACCCCCCAAGGAAATGTGGATTTAGATGGCAGGATCTGTTAGGTATTAAAAATAGATATCCGCACATACCAGATATTACTTTTTAAACCAATGGAAATAAATGCAACGTTACTACTCCCTATGTCCTAATTTTTTGAACCACACTGTCCATACACAGCTATCTTTCCAAACATCTATCTATCTCTTTTAAAGTTAATTCCGAAATATAGTGTAGATAGTAGTAGTAGTAAGAGTGATATCTTAAATAACAGTGTTAGCTGAGGCAGGCCAGTTTACTCGTAAAATCAAATATTTACAAATGCTAACACATTTGCATTCTCAGGTTGCTAAGCAAAACATATAGCTGCACGTTTTTCTGTCGAGAGTGTTATACCTCAATTCAGTGTCCTGCAACCGTCCGGAGAAGAGCATTCAATATTGCCTGGTATTGTTTACTCATTGTCGTAAGACTATTACAATTGTTGATCCAGATTCGTCAACTGTGGATCTAATGAGCGTTTCGGTGTTCATGTGTGCCAACATAGTTGACCTAACGATGTGTTCTCTCACTGTAGAAAATGCCTTCTTAGACGTGTCTTCCAGGATAATGGTTCTCGTAATTCAAGGTAGTTAATCGGCTAAGGGTCTCATGAGAGACGCGCATTTCGGCATAAAACGTCATCAGAAAGCTACGATTCCGTAAGAAATGTGTGGTAGCTTGACTGTGGTCGGCTCTGGGTAATTCCGAATGACCGTTACTTTATTTCATAGACAGCGAATACATTCAGCGTCAAAATCGAGGGAATCGGTTCTGATTTGACATTTCCGTTTGTTAACAGTGATGTGATTCATTCTGAAGCTGTCGGAAAACAAAATCCAGATACTGGAGATGAGAATCTTTGTCTGGGCTACATGATACAAGTTTTCATCATTCACGACCTATACTTATTCTCACTCTGTATTTCATTACCAAAGTAGTGACTCCAAATACTCCATTATAGACAAAACATTGCTAGTTCCACTTGCATTGGAAAAATGAATAGTATCTTCACCAATCTAAAAGCAAGTGATGAAAATCTTCACATATAAACCAGTACCTAGCTGGTGAGTTGCACTCATGATTTCCTTTTGCCGAGTGGAAATGTCTTAGACTTTATTGCTGGAAAACCAGCGACGCAGCCAAGTGGACTTGAAAATATTGTGAACATATGCAACCAAATTACATTTGATATGACAATAGAAGAAAAACTCACCGAAACTTTTTGGCCAAACCAAAATCAATGATAAAAACTTTGTTACACTGACGACCAATACCCATTAAAAAGTTATCTGGTTTAATATCTCGGTGGATAAAGCCCTTTGCATGTATAAAATCTAGTCTCCACAACATCTGATCAGCTAACATCAAAACAGTCTTCATTGTGAATCTGCGCCCACAAAATGTAAAAAGATCCTCCAAACTAGGTCCTAAAAGTTCTATTACCATAGCATGATATAGATTTCTGACGCCATCGAGTCCATAAAACTGAATTCGAGGTATTCCAGGAGTTTCCTAAGAATAAATCAATGACTACAAAAGTCTCGACTTACTCGAAGTACTCGATACACTTTACTTTCGAAATACAGTTGACAATGTCGTGTGCGCACACGCTCCATTTTTATTGCTACTTCCTCTCCCGTAACGATGTTAACCCCCAAAAATATAGAACCAAATGACCCACTTCCGATTTTTCGTACAAGTCTCCACTTTTCCGCTACTATATACTTCGATGACGATAAACGTTGAGAGTCATCCATCACTTATACACCTTGAGGTCAATAAGTAAATGCATCCAGCTTAATAAAAAACGGGAACAGAAGAGAATATTACTCGCGTATAGCTACATGTGTCTTCCGTTTAACAAACAACAGAAATGTGGTTCCCATCACCCGAAAGTCATCAATAAAAATCCATAGATAAACATTTGTTGTTTCGAAAACACGTCGCCCGTGAAACCACAGCACGGGTGTTTTCCAAGTAACTGATTGACCGTAATTAACGTCTAGACTTTATTGTCCAACTAAAGTATTGGAACGACCCAAGAAAAAGGCCTTCAATCTCTAAAATACAACCCACCTAGCTACTTAAAATGATAACGCTACACTGTCGCAGAAAAAGCTGAATAGTAAATCGCTTTCTTACTATTGTGAGCCTGTGGTTATCCGAAGGGTAGATAAATAAACACTACTAATCATAACACTATACGCAATTGAGAACTTTTTTGTTACCATTTCCAGAAAAACTTGAGAAATTACCAGTAACAGTCTAAGATATACGATCCTTAAGAAGCGTCTATGAATGGTCTCAAGCTGATGTTGGTTCGGTTGTACCTCGGCGTCAAACACAAGGAGAGGTTGTGCTAGTTTACTTACAGTAATCATCCACGACCAAACCCTTTATTCTACTTCCTGTCTGCGTCGAAAATATGTCGTCTAACATTTTTCGGTGTCATGGATAACCAGTCATTTGTCTAGCCTCATCAGATACCCAAACCTTGTGATATTTCTTCGGGAGTTTCAAGTTATGGTTTCTGTTTCAGGATATTGCTTCAAACTCTATAACCTCCACAATTCTTCCTTATTGTTTCACTTGTAGAGCCAATATGACTAGATCCTACAGATGGAGCAGCTCTGTGAATCCATTGTTGTCACTTCAGTTATGCTATGGACACTACTAGTAATAATGTAATTAGGAACAACCTGCCCAGACTACGGCAGAGTAGAAGTTCCGGGGGGATTATTTTCATAGATAACTGTGAGTACCAGATTTTTACTGACTCAATACCTGTTATGGTATAGAACCCACGAGTGTTTATGCTATATTAGTCTTAATAGCTGACCATCTCTTTCCATAGGAATTTTGACCTGGAACATGTTTACTAGCCTTACAACGATCAACCTTCTAAGCTCCAATGAATTAATTGTTTATAAAAACGTCTTTTAGATTATTCAAATCGAATGAGTTACTACATGTTCACGACGCCTTCGTTTAACTATAGAATTGTCAAAGCTTCAAGACATCACTTAAGTTGTATTTACTGTACTCTAGGCCCAACTTCCAGACTAATAAAGTAGACATCTTCGTAAATACACGTTACAGCAGAACCTGTGACAGCACCCAGTTACCAGGTTGCATGAAAATGAATCCACCATCGAACGGCTTAGGAGCAACCCACGCAAAACATCGTCCGGCCTTACTGTACGCAAACGACGGCTTTTCGCTGCTTGAAAACTGGTGAATGATCAATTCTGTTAGCATGGAGGATCTGAAGCATATAAGCTTGCAAGATGGCACAGTACGCACAGAAAAACACTTGCATTCGCCATCTAACACAACTAACACGTGGTGGACTTATGAAATATGAAAATTGATAGTGGATGTGGGTGAAGCAGTTAGCGTTCGGGCCCGTTTTATACTGATGGAACGAACAGAGTAGCGTGGATACACAACAGAAGTCAAACTGCAGTTAAAACTACCGCTCCGCTCCCTAAACGACCTTGAGCTACATCCTTCGGGGCGGTCATTCCACATTTTAGGTGCAACGGGTAGGTGGAGTGTCAGTAAACCGGCTTAACCCCGTAGTATGTATGCTTTCAGGGGCCTCATAAATTTACAGACTATCGATCAAAACAAAGCCATGTGTTTTCTATGCTTTTATCTATATTTCAAACAAATAAATCCTTTCTACAGTGCTGTTTAACTATCGACCTATAGGTTGCAGTGAGCTAGTTTCTATAATTTATCCTCCTGTGTCTTCAATTATTCTTCTTTAAGTTTTTTCAATAGTACTACTGTGTCACGTACGTCAGTCAACATTTCGGCTGAATTAACGGATACATTTCGGTAGACAATGCTATCTCAAAGGTCCTTTTCTCGAGATGAATTCAAAAATGTCCTGAAACGTTTCCAACGCGTAAAAAGGTGATAATTCTGACAACTGAAGATAACGTGCACTCATTACCTCCATGCACAACACAAAGGGACTCCTACTGAGGAATGTAAATATCAGCTTATTGCTCTCAAATACACGTTGGTTCTGGAGAAAAAATCACAAGCTATCGGAACTGCTAGTAAGATGTGAGGCTGTCAGGGCATATGTGACAAGACATAACAGGGAATACCTTACGCACTGACGATCCTATATTGGCGTGTTCACGAGAACAGATAACAGCTCTCAGCCTAACATGATAGGCACGTCGAAGTTGTACTCTGAACTTTCCACGTATGATAGGCATTTGTTTAGGTGAGTGTAATTTGATATGCATCCAAGTAGTTGTCATGAGGCCCCATAGTTAAAGTAGCTGTTTTGTCTACGTTCGTATAAAAGTGAGACATCGCGTCAAAATCTATCACATCAGGCCAAAGTTCTGTAAATTCAAGCCTTACAGACCGCCAACATACCTACATTACGCAAAAAATTTATGTAGACACTTTTTGTTGCATGCATTTGAGAAGTATATTTAACTTCTTACCTTAGAAGCCAGAGTATTCGCCTTTATTTTTTCAAGGAGACTGACTTCATTGACTGGTGATGTTAAATCTGCTTTGGTAGTAAACAGAAGTAGCGTAAAACATCAAAATTCTAGCGACAGAAATAGGACTCAACAGCAAGTTACGAGTTCTATCGCCATTGTCTTACGTCTAAAACACGAAAATGCGTGTTACTTCATAAACGATCTCAACGGGGCTGAGAAATATGATAACGACGCCGTACATTACAAAAAGAATTTAATAAAAAACATGCGAAATAAGCAATAAGTTGGCCGTTTCAACAGAAAGTAGTGTAGAATCTATTTTGAAGGTTTTGTTTTTGGAAAATTCCTCCATGTACATATATTTGTGTTATGATATGAGTGACTCTTCTATTTGATATTTTGTTACTCTTTTTGATTCCATTTTGAGATTTTATCATTGTATATTGTTATTATTTCTATATCTTGTACTTAAATTGAAGTTTCCATGTTTCCTTCCGAACTATATATGTGTTGTTTAAAATTGATATTTAATATGGCCACAGCCATATTTGGATTTGATACTCTCGCAGTAACGGACTGGAAGCACTTATTCTTCCAGTAAGGGAACCTACTGTGGTAATCGGAAAGTCGAAGGAGTAATATTGTTTTGGTAATTGTCTGAATTCCCTTTTTTCGTTAAATACAGAACCGTTATCTCTCAGAATTATCGTTTTTGGACTTGGACTGGGTGGGACGCGTATGAACCTACACTATTCGAGTTTAAAGCGGACTGCAAGAGTAAATTATTAACTTAACAGTTCAAAACAATATTTCGAGGAAGATCCTTTGGATTTCTTATCGTTTACTATCTTTTGGATATTTCACTGTCAGCTGGTCCCTAACGATATTTGGAGAAAAATACTTTGGATGTCTCATTGTCTACAATAATTGAAGACACGGAACCAGTGAAATTTAATATTTGGTCTTTGTTGTTTCCTTCCCGTTGAATTTCAGTTGCTATAATGATTTCTCGAAAGAAGCCAAACACGAAGAAGGATGAACCCCATGAAGAATCGCGGAATGCAAGGCAATTACCATATAATACTTCATGTTTAAAGGGTTCACTGTCTATTAAGGATGATATTATGCTTAGTACTTATTGTCGTAAGTCATCATTAGAGGGTACTAAAGAACGAAGTTTGGACGAGAACTTTGAGATATCTGGGAAAGATTTGATGTCTAGGACACCGGTAGTTGGCTTAGAATTGCCAAAGGTTGAACTTCCTTTCTTTGACGGCCGACACCGTGACTACTTTAGGTTCGTTAAGCAATTTGAGACGTCTATAGAACCTTGAGTTATTGATGACAATCTGCGCCTATTATATTTAATCCATTACTGTAAGAGAAAGGCAAGAGATGCGATTGAGGGATGTCTTATAATGGAACCTCACGCAGGATGTAAAAGGGCTAAGACTATTCTAAAACAGCTTTTCGGACAATCACACCTAATCGCTCGTGAAACCTTGAAGAATTGTTCAGATCTGGGAATGCTGACTAAAACGATCCAGAGCAATTGTCGAATTTAGCAATTAAGATGCAGAACGTGTCTATGACTCTGTAACAGCTAAATTGCACTGCTGAATTGAATTCCTTAGTAACTTTGGAGCGGAGAATTAGGCTTTTACCTCATCATATGCAAGTCCAGTGGGCAGATCTGGAAATGAAATGGGACGAAGAGAATAGAGAGCCTACATTCAATGAATCGACTGACTTTATTTTGTCTCGTGCAGGGATAGCTAGTAGTAGATTTGGGAGATTAGCTAATCGCATGATATGGAAGCGACTAGTCATCTGCGCGCGAGACATGGCAATTCTTTAAATGTATTTGCACCTACCTCACGCCCAGAACTTAATTGTATTGGCAAGGTATATCCTCTTGAAGACCGAGAATAATAATAATAATATATTTATTCTCAAATAACTACGTTACAAGAGTCACGCCAGTTTACAGGCTAGATCAAATTGTCACAAAATGTGGTACTGCTGGTAAGTACTAGACCTGGCCTTTTCTGTATCGTCATTTGAAAAATTGGTGAAGGGTGTCAAAGGTGCAAGCTTTCGAAAGCTTTAGAGACTAAATAGAGTACGACAGACCACAGAGCTATGTGTAAGTGTTCATCATACTGCTTTAAGACATATAGGTTTCTTTAGTGGCAGTTAGGTCTACTATTTACCAGCAGTACCACATTTTGTGCCATCCAGGTCTATAGAATTTTTGGTCAATAAAACGATTGGGAGGTAGG